GCTTTCTTGCCACGCGGACAGGAAAGCCCAATGTGCCAGCCTGCACTGGTCTCCTGATCCTGGTGCCACCGCTTCCAGTTACAGCTCTCCAGCTCCTGGGTCTAGGAGGTTTCCAGCACGAGGATCCCAGGTCCAAAGGACACATTCTGCTCCCATCTCTTCTTGGCAGTAGTCAGGTCCCCCCTTTCCACCTCGGATGTCTCATGTTACCCCTAGCAGGATGGCAAAACTGACCGACCCTCTCTTTAGGGTTCCATACAACTTATTCACATGGTCCTGCCCCCACAGGGTGCCACACACCTTATTTACATTATAAACAAGCTGTCCAATCACCTTGGTGGGCCACAAGCACCTCATCTGCATAGTCCTACCCAGCCATTCACTGGGACTTACAAAGACTATGGCTACAAAAAAACAAACCAAACTCACTAATGTCGAGTCGATTCAACTCATAGCAACCCCTCCTTTGGCTTCTGAGGTGGTATCTCTACGGAAGTAGATTGCCCAATCTTCCTTCCGAGGAGTGGCTGGTGGGTTTGAACCGCCAGCCTTCTGGTTAGCAATCAAGTGCCTTAGGCACTAAGCCACCAGATATCCCGAGATTATGGCTAGAAAGGCCACATCAAGTAATTCACTTCACTGAAAGTATCAACTGGGAAATTGGGAGGCGGTTAGTTAGTTAGTTAGTTCCAGGTTCACCTCTGCCACTGACTGACTGTGTGACCTTAGTTAAGCCCCTCCCCTTCCTGGGCCTCAGCCTTTCTCAGAATATATTCTGTGGAAAAACCAAGCGTTCTCCTGTGCCCCTTGGAGAGTCTTCTTTAGCACAGTAAACGTGCAGTCCTGCAATAAAGAAATCTATTCTACTACCCACTGCTTCCCAAAGTCCAGTAAACATGGAACCCCCTTTCTCTTTTGCCTAATACAAATGATAAGGCATACATTTTGAAAGAGATGGTTCTAAGACTGCCCTTCCAGCTCTAAAGTTCCGTAGTGCTTGTCATCACCCTGTCACCACCCCACAGTGTCACCCCAGAAACCAGCTCCTCCACTCTCCTTCCCACTCGTCCAAAACCTAACCGTCATCCTGGGGTCTTCTGCTGCTCTCAGCCTCTCATGCAGCCCAAGCACAGGCTCGGTCCGTTCAACTTCCAGAGTTAACTGCAAATCTATCTGCTCTTCATCTCACTCTTCCTCAACTCTCGCCCCTCTGCACTCCACTCTCAGAGCAGCCAGGGTGACGTTCGTTCTTTTTTTAACATAGATCAAATCAAATCCACACTCTGCTTAAAACCCCCCCAGTGGCTTCCCACTAAAGTTTGAATCAAATGCAAACATTTCATCTCGGCAGGCCTCCCTCTCCCGGACTCCATCTGTAAACCCTCTCCACTCTGTTTCTCCAATTCAGCCACAAGCATTCTTTCTGTACCTCAACCACCTCACACTCATTCCTGCCTCAGAGCACTGAACTTGCTGTTCCCTGTGTGTGGACCCCCTCTACTATCTGTCCTCCTTTCCCTCATGGTGTGGATCCTTCTTATCTCTTGGGTCTATACTTGGCCCTTTCAGGACACATCCCTGTTTTATTCCCTTTGTCCAGTAAACCAGTTGCTGTCAAGCTGATTCTGACTTATGACGACCCCAAGTGTGTCAGAACTGAACTGCGCTCCAGAGGGCTTTCAATGGCTGACTTTTCAGAAGTAGATTGCCATGTCTTTCTTCCAAGTGCCTCTGGGTGGGAAAAAAAAAAAAAAACTCACTGCTACTGAGTCAATTCTGACTCATAGCAACCCCCATTGGGTTTACAAGCAGATTGCCCCATCTTCCTTCCATGGAGCAGCTGGTGGCTTTGAACTGCCAACCTTCTGGTTAGCAGTCAAATGCTTTAGGCACTGCACCACCAGAGCTCCAGGTGCCTCTGGGTGGACTTAAACATTCAACCTTTTGGTTGGCAGCCGAGCATGTTAATCTTTGCACCTCCCTGGGCCTCCGTTTCCTTTGTAGAGCTCAGTGTTTACAATCAACAGTACCTTGTTTCCCGTGTCTCTTTTCCCTGCTCTGTCCTGGCATGTACCAAAACCAAACCCATTGCTGTGGAGTCAATACCCACTCGTAGCAACCCTACAGGACAGAGTCAAACTGCACCATAGGATGCTGTTGTTGTTACGTGCCATCGAGTCGGCCCCGACTCATAGCGACCCCTCCTTGGGTTTCTGAGGCAGTATCCCTAGGGAAGTAGATTGCCCCATCTTCCTTCCGAGGAGTAGCTGGTGGGTTTGAACCACCAGCCTTCTGGTTAGCAGTCAAGTGCCTTAGGCACTACGCTGCCAGAGCTCCCACACCATAGGATAGTACATAGTAAATACTCAGTATTATTTTTGTTAAATGAATCAGTGGAAAAGAGAAAGAGAAAACGGTACTGGCCCTGTGCTTGGTACAGCATGCCTGGTTCCGCTCCTCCCTCCCTGGCAGTGCCTCTTCTCTGCCTTACCTTCTCTTTGGTCTCACCCCTCCCAGTCCTGGTGACCCCTTGGTCCTGCCCCCTCCCCCACCCCAACTGCTCCATGCCCAGCACTGATGCTCCCTGGCTCCAGCTCTCTCAGCTTGACACCTCTTTCTTGCTCATGGCTCATACCATCAGTCACTGAGCCATGTCGATTCTATGGCACAAGCCTCTCAAGATGATCTTTCTTCCCTTTTCCAAGGTTACCACCTCTGGTCCCAGCTCCTGATGATCTCACCTGGGACAGAGATCTCTCATGTCCAGTCTCCTCCCAGGGGTTGTGGTCCTACACTGCTCTGCATCGTCATCCGACAGCACCTGTCCAACAGTCCTGCTCCAGAACTCTGCACGGCTTCTCAGTGTCTGCAGGGTAAACCATCAGCTCTTCTGCTGGGATTTATGGCTCTCTCCGGCCTGGCCCTTACCTCTCTGCTGCTCCGTCTCCCACCACTCCTTACCCTGTCCCTTATGTTTCAGTCCAAGTCCATTTCCTATACAGGCATGTCCAGATCTACTGCAATTTCTCTCCCTCTTCTAGGCCAGTTTGAATCACTTTCTCCCAGAAACCTTCCTTGATTCAGACTTGCCCAGGTCTCCTATTGGCCCTTCTCTTACACTAGTCTGTATTATATTAGAACAATAATAACCAAAACATACTGAAGACTAATGAGTAAGGCAGTGTTCTGTATTATCTCAGTTAATCCTGACATCAATCTTATGAAGTAGGTGCTATTATCATGCAGGTTTTATAGATGAGGAAACTGAGGCACAGAGAGGTGAAGTGGCCTGTGCAAGATCACACAGATAAAGAGCAAATGAGTTGGGATCTGAACTCAGTCTGATTCCAGAGCCCACGCTCTTAACTTCCACTCCACACTGTGTCTGTCTTTGATCTTTTCTGGGAAAGAAGGCTTCCTTGCTGCTTCCTCTGCCTGAACCCCCCCCCACATACACATACACACCCCAATTCCCCCCAAGTCCTACTTATGCAAAGCACAAGCCATCTCTTTGGCCAAGCGGCATTTCCTGGTATATCACCAACCAGGCTGGGCTAAGTGTGCCTCCAGGCTTCCTGACACAGCCCTTGTCACTCTCTTCCCACATGGATTGTGGGACCCGAGTCCCCTGTATCCTCTAAGTCCAGCAAAGCCCAGGGAGGCCTCAGATGGTGCCTGCTGAATGCATGAATGGGGTCAGGGCCAGGCCCTCCTCACAGAATTCCTTCATCACCTAGTACAGTCCCTTGAACAGAAGACACTCAACACCAAAAGACCAAAACCAAACCCAATGCCATCAAGTCGATTTACCCACATTGGGTTTCCAAGGCTGTAAATCTTTTAAGGAAATACACTGCCTCATCTTCCTCCTGTGGAGCAGCTGGTGGGTTTGAACCGCTGACCTTCTAGTTAGCAGCCAAATGCCTTACCAGTATGCCATCATAGCTCAATACTTTGACCACTGAACACAAGCACTAGCCTTTGTGGTGCTCTCAGTCCACTGCTCGGACTCCCCCAGCCAGGCTGGGCTGGATTCCGCATCTTAGGATATACTCTCTGGCTGGGAACTGAAGATTAAAGGACCTTTTCTTGCCATAGCTCTTGTTAGCTGGCTGGCTGGCTCCCTGACTAGATGCCAATTCTCACCTCTCCCTTGACCTGATCCCTGTTCTCTTCTCAGATCTAACTTCTCAGAGGCAGCCTCAAAGTGGTGGAATGATCTGGGCTCCACGTCAGTTTCCAGTCTTACTGCCTTAGACCCATGAAACTTTCAGAGCATCCTTTTCTCAGAGCCTGTTTCCTCATCTGCAAAACATGCCTGTTGACATCCAGGCCCTGCATCCTTAGCAGGTTTCTTGACACTTTCTGAAGTGTAAAATGTCAATAATAATTCACTCTGTCAACAAATATTTATTGCACACTGACTGTGTCACACACATCGCCTAAAGTTTCAGTCTTCACAGTAGCACTCCAAGGTAGAGATTATGAATCTTCATTTTACAGATGAGGAAACTGAAGCTCGGGAAGGGATGTGACTTGGGACAAGTTGCAGAGACTAGATCTGTGTCGGGTGCACCTGCACTCTTTCTGCCCACTCCACTTCCTAGGCTCCGGGCTGGTGACAATGAGCCAGCCCCTCATCCGAGTCCCACTCCCCAGGCCTCAGACCCCACCCTCTCAGCATTTGCCTATGATGTAGATAAGGGACATTTTCCTGAGAAAACAGAAACATCTCAGTTGCATCTGCTACTGAGATTAGCTTTGACAAAGTGTCTCATCCTCTTCGGTTCTTTTTATGGAAGACTGGGGAAGGAGTGGCAAGTTTAATCTACTTGAATCTTTACAGGCACTTTTCCTTATACAAGTTTGGAAACTTCAGGAATCCTTGAGGAAAGCCCAAGGGATGAATTTCGTTTTCCAAGTTCCTAACTCAGGAGCTGACTGGGTTCTGTCAGACCTCAGTGCGATGATTACTCCTCAGGCTCAACTCCAGCCTAAAGTCACCCACACTCTTCAAAGATGTCTGGGTAGTGCCGGAAGAGCACAGGTGGGTCGCGGTCCCCTCGGACCGGGGCCCGAGGCACAGCCCGGATCCCAGGCCTCCTGCCCCGCCGCCCCCCGGAGCAAGAGCGATGGATCCACTGATGCGCTTCCACCGCGAACTTCCTCTTGAAGCGCATGCCGCACTCGGGGCAGGGGAAGGGCCGCTCACCCGAATGCATGCGCCGGTGGCTGACCAGCAGCGAGGGGTATGTGAAGCGGCGGCCACAGTCTGCGCACACGTGGCGCCGCTGGCTGGCCTGAGCGTCCACACTGGGCGCTGGGGCCGAGGTCTGCACACTGGTGGTCTGGTCCCAGGCAGCTTTAAGGGGCAGCTGTGCCCTCACCAAGGCTCTGTTGGTAGTTGAGTCAGAGTTGTCCTTTATCAGCTTTGCAGGTAGCTCTTTCCCAGGAGTTTCTCTGGACCCCTCAGCTTCTGACCCTTCCTTCTTCTTGTTTGGGGCAGCTCCTAGGAAACAGGAATTAAGTTACACTTTAAAACACATATGCATAGACCATTTCCGGTTATAAAGTGCTCTTATGTACAGAAAAGTACTGCCCAGTAAGTAACACAAGGCCTTGGGAGATGGTAAACAAGAGCTCAATCTCTTAGATCAATCACCGGGGAATAGAAGGGCTGTGTATGCACAAGGAGACAGCTGGGGGGGTGGGTAGGAGTGCCTGGGAGGGAAGGACACAGGCAAGAGGTTACTATGGGGAGGAAGTGGGAGGAGAGCTGTTACACTGTGCGGAATTGCAGTCAATGTCATAAGACAAAATGTGTATGAACCGCTGTATAGAAAATGAATTTGCTCTGTAAACTTTCACCCAAATCACAGTAATTTTTTTTTAAGAGTTCAATCTTTTAAGAGTGACTTTTGTGTCACTTCCATTCAAATCACAATTTAAAAAAAACAGTGACTATGTGTCAAATGGGAATAATAATGGTTTCTTTCCTTCACAGGTATGTTGGGAAGATTAAATAAGTAGAGGCACATTAAACACTTAGTAAAATCTCAATGCAGTAGCTATCAGTATTGAGGTTTCTCTAGTCATTATAGGTAATTGACTCAAAGGCAATGGTTTGCGTTTCGGTTAAGACTGATTTATAGATGAGGAAGCTTATTTACTCAAGATCTCTCCGCTGGAGACAGGGAAGGGTTGTGAGGAAAGAAGAAGCAGGTTGTAAAAAAAAACCAAACTCACTACCATCCAGTCAGTTCTGACTCACTGCCATCCCCACTGGGTTTCCAAGGCTGTAAATCTTTATGGAAGTAAACTGCCCCATCTTTCTTCTGTAGAGCAGCTCATAGGTTCAAACCACCAACCTTTGTTTAGCAGCCTACTTGCGTTAACCACTACACCATCAGAGATCCTTCAAACTCACTGCCATTGAGTCGCTTCTGACTCATAGCGACCTCCATTGGGTTTTCAAGGCTATCAATCTTTACAGAAGCAAACTGTCCCATCTTTCTTCTGTGGAGCAGCTGGTGGGTTTGAACCACTGACCTTTTGGTTAGCAGCCAAATGTCTTAACCACCACACCACCAGAGCTCCTTAGGTTGCCAAGTACTGGGCATTTTCTCTTAAATTACTTTCCTTTGCTTGAGGAATGGAGGTAGACTTGCAGACACTTCTGCTCTTAGGGGCTTTTAGTTGTTCCTTTAAGAAAGACAATGAGTGGGGTTTCCTAGGAGAGGTACTTGGAAATTCAACTGTCTTGGAGTTGGGCTCGATTCGCCTGGTTTAAACACTCTCAACATGACTAACATCCCAAGTTCTGAACGTTTTGCACTAGGTCTCCCTTCTTTCCTTTTCTAGTATGCCAAACAGATCTGTTCTTTCACTTCTTTAGGGATATTGGAAGAGGGGATCTGGAAGGAAACTGCTGGACAGGAAGCCCTGGAGAGCCAAGTAGGGGAGACTTGGGACAATCCCTCACCTCTTGGAGCTCCTCCCAGGTTTTCCCTCTCCTCAGGATCCTGGGCGGCGGGGCTCCAAGCCTCACTCTCCTGTTCCATCCAAGAGATGAGGGCTGGTTTGGGGCCCGGGAATCCTGGGAGAGAACAGGGATCACAGCGCTGGCCTGAGAGGCTGTCCTGGGGAGATGGCGTCCCCCTGCCAGGGTGAGGGCATCTCCTCAGAACTAACAGTCAACCCAGACAGGGCCAGCAATGCTCCCGCCTGAGGGAAGTGGCGGCAGGGTGGAAAGACTCCCAAAGGGGTAGCTGAAGCCCTGGGAACAGGAGGCGCCTGGTGCTGCTGACGGACTAGTGAGGAGTTAGGGATCACAATCCTCTCGGTCCTTCTATATCGTTTCCCCTGTGAATCCCCGAGGAGGGGAGCTCGACCCGGGGCCTCACCGAGCACGCCCAGGTGGCCGTACGTCTCCCGCATCACGTCCCGGTACAAGGCTCTCTGTGCGGGCCGCAGACACGCCCACTCTTCCGGGGAGAAGTACACGGCCACGTCCGCGAACCGCACGGCCCTCGGCTTCTTGTAACCAGGCACAGTCTCGCCGGGTCTCGGCGCCAGGAGCGAGGCCGGAGGCGGTGCCATGGGGCTTCCGAGCCCCGAGCAGCAGCCGCCTGGCCCCCGGGCCACTGCCTCTCCGCTCCCGGCTTCAGCTTTCGCGGTACACAGGAAAGGCTGCCGAGGTCGGAGCTCCGCCCAGCCTTGGCGTCCGAACACAGCTGGGGAACTTCCAAGTACCAGGGAGTGGTTGCTAGGAATTCGGGGATTCTGATGGGAGACGAGTAAAACCTCTTAGTGTTTATTCACTTCATGGCCGCCTGGACATAAGAAACCCGGGTTAAGGGACCCGGAAGGTGCCTTCAGAAAATATGGCGACGTCCTAGCTTCAATTGCCGTTAGCAGCTGGCCTATGACGCGATTCCTTGATCACATCAAACATGGCGCCTTTCTGCCTTCTCTGGCCTTATCATCGCACTTGCCCTTAAAGACAATGGCTGCTTTAGCGTTTATTTTGAACGGCAGGGACTGAAAAGAGAGAAAGAGAGCCCACAGCTACAAGTACCTCACTTTGCCTGTAGGAGACAGCGACCGATGGTTGGCCGCAAGGACAGTAAGAAGCTGCGTCGTGATTGGTTGCCGCATTGGAAAGGTCTTGCAGCCTCCAAGTCTCCTGCCACTGACTCTGGACTGGACCCAGGATCTCGACCTGGTTCTAGGCATCTGGGATCATGTCCTCGGCTTGCTTTCCGAAGACGGGGTCTGGACTGTGGTCGCCAGCCTCTGCACACACCCTAGCCAAAGTGGAAACCAAGTACATGTTTACAGTCAACGACAGCTGCAGAGCCCACGGGACTCTGGACTGGGGCTGCAGGCAAAGAGCGTGCCTGTTAAGGATGAAATTGGAGGAGGCCTAGTCTGATAAGGAGCTGTGGTAGCGTGGTGCCTAAGGCACTTGACTGCTAACCAGAAGGCTTACGGTTCAAACCCACCAGCCACTCCCCGGAGGGAAGGTTGGGCAATCTACTTCCGTAGTGATACCATCTCCGATACCCAAGGAGGGGTCGCTATGAGTCGGACGCCACTCCACGGCACTGGGTTTAGTTTGGTTTAGTCTGATAGAGCCAGGTGAGACCCCTGAGACTATGGTCCCAATTACCATTCAAATCGAATTGAACTCATTCCCGTGGCTTCCAACCAAATAATAGGCATATAGGATGAACATTTACTTTACATCACGCAGATAACACTCCTTCGAGCAATCAATTATGAGAGAAGCGCAATATTTGCACAGGGAAATAGCTCACGCTGCAGGAATGCATAGGAAAGAAGGACACGGGAAAGAGCTGTTATGTTTGTGGGGAATTGCAGTCAATGTCATGAAACAAAATGTGTACGTACTGCTATATGAAAAATAAATTTGCTCTGTAAACTTTCACCCAAATCACAATGAAAAAAAAAAAAAAATGGAGGGAGCCTATTTGAAATCACATTAAGATTTTTGCCAAATTAGTTATGTATATAATTTTTAAAAATTCATATGGTTTATAATGAAAAAGACAACCCCTTTAACCTTTATTCCCTAGAGGTAACTACTTTGAGTTATATCTCACATACAAGGAGCTCTGGTGGTGCAGTCCTAAGGCATTTGGCTGCTAACCAGAAGATTGGCAGTTCTAACCCCACCAGCTGCTCCACAGAAGGAAGATAGCACAATGTACTTCTGTAAAGATTTGTTGTCGTTATGTGCTGTGCAGTCGGAGACTCACAGCGACCCCTCCTTGGGTTTCTGAGGCAGTATCACTATGGAAGTAGATTGCCCAACTTTCCTTCCCAGGAGTGGCTGGTGGGTTTGAACCACTGGCCTCCTGGTTAGCAGTCAAATGCCTTAGGCACTATGCTACCAGAGCTCCCAAAACAGGATATGGGGATTATTTATTTACTTATTGTGATTATATATATATATATTTTTTTTTTTTCAGAAATGTTGACATCCTTCAGTTCATGTCCATATTCCCACTATTGATTTCTATGATGTCCTTCAAACAGTAACTTCTTTATGTTTATTATTAAGCTTTAATTCTCACAGAGTTTTAATACTTTTTCACATTTTCCAAATTTCTTGATTGATTGCTCTTGCAATTTAGAAAAGCAAATTTTCCAAGAAATGCTGGGAAGGAATTCCCACATGAGATTCCCTCATGGAGGAACCTTGACAGTATCAGTAAGACTAGGAAAGTGTGGGGCATGAAAGCTAAATTAGAAGAGAGTTTAAGGAGCAGGAAAACTAACGTATATAAGGTAAAAACTGAAGTACTCAGCAATTCCATTGCTAGAAATATACCTAAGGGACTTGAAAGCAGTGACACAAAGACATATGCACCCTAGTGTTCACTGCAGCACTATTCAAAGCAGCAAAAAGTGTAGAAATGGCCTAAATGCCCATCAATGGATAAATGGACAAACAAAATGAGGTACATGCATACTGGAATACTACGCAGCCACAAAGAGAAATGAATTCCTGACACATGCTACAACATATATGGAGCTTGCTTGAGGACATTATGCGGAGTGATGGTCTGCATCAATCACCAAAGGACAAATACTGTTTCATCTCACTTATATAAAAAGAACAGGCAAAGACATGGAGACCAGAGTTTATTAGGGGTTGCAGAGGGTGGGAGGGAGTAGGAAGGAAAAGGGGGTTATTGCCTACCAGCACTGAGTTTCGGTTTACAGTGATGGAAAATTTGTATTCATAACACACAGCCGATTAGTGTAATTCCTGTCAATGAGTTGTGCACCTATGAAAAGTTGAATCGGCAAAAGTTGTGTGATCTATTTGTAGTAACAACAGAAACAGCACCTGCTGAAGCTGCTTATGTACAAACACTTCATGGGGTTTGGTTTCTTGATTTGGAGGTTTAGGGTGGTGGGACATCTCAGTTAATTGGCCTAATGTCATGTTTAAGTGCTTCTGTTCAATCTCCCCTTTCATTGTGTAGTGTCTGGGGTCTTGAAAATTTGCAAGTGGGCATCCAGGCACAACAGGTGGTCTCTATTCACCTGGAGCAACAGAGGAACAAGGAGTCAGAAACAGAAGGAGGAAATAGAATGCATGACTAATTGCCTCCATGAACAACTGCCTCCTTTGCCATGAGACCAAAAGACCTGGAGGGTGCCTGACTACTATTACTAAACATTTTGATTAAAGACTCTATAGAATCCTGATCAAAAGGGTGGAAAATGCTGAACTGAATTTCAAAATTTAATGGAATCCAGATTTTCTGGAGCTATGGAGGCTGGAGGAAGCCCCCAAACTATTTCCCTGACATGATCTTTAAACCTGAAATTTTCTTTAAACCAACCAACAGTTTAGCTTAAATATTAAATGTCTGCCTTGAGCATTGTTCTCATTTAAAGAACTACCTATATGACATCAGAGGGCTCTGGTGGTGCATTTTAATAACAGATTTGACTGCTAACCAAAAAGTTGGCAGTTTGGGGCCCATTAGCTGCTCTGTGGCAGAAAGATGAGGCAGTCTGCTTCTATAAAGATTTACAGCCTTGGAAAACCCACAGAGTCGCTATGAATCAGAATCGACTCAGTGGCAGTGGCTTGTATGAGATCAAATTGACAACAGCAACACAAAAGAGTAGATGGGAAGCTTAGGAGGTAGTGAGTTGATGTCAGTGGGGGAGGAACAACCTGTAGTAGTGGGGTGAGAATGGTTGCACAACTTGAAGAATGTAACCAATGTTGCTGAATTGTACATTTAGAAATGGTTGACTTGGTGTAGGTTCTGATGTGAATATTCCCAACAATGTTGTTGTTGTTGTTGTTATGTGCCGTTGAGTCGTCCCCGACTCATAGCGACCCCTCCTTGGGTTTCCGAGGCAGTATCGCTACGGAAGTAGGATTGCCCAACCTTCCTTCCGAGGAGTGGCTGGTGGGTTTGAACCGTCAGCCTTCTGGTTAGCAGTCAAGTGCTTTAGCCATTATGCTACCAGAGCTCCCATTATGAATAACAATAACAAAAAAAAAATTAATTATTTTAAGAAAGCCACCAAAGTATTGATTCATTTTTATGTCATCAGTCACTTTATAGGGCAGTTTTAGTGGAGCACTACTTTGAATAGCAGCTGACTTTGAAGTCAGACCCAGCTTGAAATCCTGGCCTTTTTAATTGGGAATTTAATTTACACTGGTGGTGTAGTGCGTAAGGCACTGGACTGCTAACCAGAAGGCTGGCGGTTCAAATCCACCAGCCACTCCTCAGAAGGAAGATGGGGCAATCTACTTCCGTAGAGATACTGCCTCAGAAACCCAAGGAGGGGTTGCTATGAGTTGGACTCGACTTGATGGCAATTGAGTTTGGTTTGGATTTTTGGTTTCATGGATGCTGGCTCCATGATCAAGAGGAGCCTCCTTGGTCAGAAACAAAGACCCTTATTACTGATGGCACAGCAAGCAGCATGACTACCATGCATTCGTTAGTTATAGTCCAAAGAGGACATGGAGAGGCCCAGACGGAGGCTAGGCACACAGTGAGCTGTGTTACAGGAAAGGGACACAGCGCTTGGGGGACCTTCTGTTTTATAGCAAGCAGTAAGCAAGTTGCACTTTGTCCCAAATGGAGCCATTACATCATCCTTCAAGGTTGCTTGCTGTAGCAGCCATCTAGATGCAACGATGGGTCTCTCCTTGTCCAGAGCAAAGAAGAATGAAGAAAACCAAAGATGCAATTAGTCCAAGGGACTGATAGACCATGCATTCCTCAGTCTATATGACCATGCGACCAGAAGAATTAGATGGTGCCTGGATATTACTGTCAACCATTCAGAGGGGGAATCAGTCCAGGAAATCCTGGATAGAGTGGGAGAACAATGTGGGAACAAAACTCAAAATCATTAAAAAAAAAAAAAAAAAAAAAAAAGACTGCTTTGCTGGTCTAATAGAGCCTGGTGAGAATCCCAAGACTATGGCCACTAGTTACCCTTCAGGTCTGGAATTGAACTCACTCCTGTGGCTTCCAGCCAAACAATGGACAGGCATATAGGGTGAACACTTACATCAGGTAGATACTCTCTTTAGAACAATCAATCATGGGAGAACAGAAGGGCAGTGTTTGCACAGGGAGATAGCTTTGTGGTGGGAGGCAGGGAGTGCATGGGAGGGAAGGACACAGAGATGAGGTAACTATGGGGAGGAAGTGGGAAGAGGTGTTACATTGTGGGGAACTGCAGTCAATGTCGTGAAACAGTGTGCATAAACTGCTGTATGGAAAATGAATTTGTGCTGTAAACGGTCACCCAAATCACAATAAAAATTTAAAAATTAAAAAAAAGAAAAGAAAAGGTTGCTTGTTGCAAGCACAACCATGAGAAATGGCCTGGGTTAAGAGTATGCATTTTGGGCATACTCGATAATATGAGATACCCATGGAGAGTATCTTCCAACATCTACTTTACAGGGTTCTAATAAAAATTAGATTAGATACATCCATGAACTTTGAAAACACGCTAAGTGAAGTAAGCTAGACAGAAAAGGACAAATGTATGCTCCCACTTATATGAAATATCAGTAGGCAAAAGCAGAACATAACTAGGTTAGTGGTTACCATGTACAGTACAGTGAATTAATAAGGCCCTTCTAGCCATAGTCTTGTAACACTCCCACCAAAAGATTGGGAGGGACTCTGCAAAAAGGAGCTCTGGTGGCACAGTGCCTAAGGCATTTGACTGCTAGCCAGAAGGTTGGCGGTTCAAACTCACCAACCACTCCTCGGAAGGTTGGGCAATCTACTTCCATAGTGATACCGCCTCGGAAACCCAAGAAGGGGTCGCTATGAGTCGGATTCGACTTGATGGCAGTATTATTAATAATATTATAATAGGCCAAATAAAAGGAGCCCTGGTGGCACCATCGTTAAGCATTTGGCTGCTCATCTAAAGGTCGGCGGTTCAAACACACCATCAGCTCTGTGGGAGAAAAGACCTGGTGGTCTTCTTCCATAAATATTACAGCCTTGGAAACAAACCCTATAGGACAGTTCTACTCTGACCTATACGGTCACTATGAATTGAAATCAGTTCAACAGCACAAAATAACGGGCCAAATAAACCAATGGAATGGGTTCAGTAAGTGTAGGATACTCCTTCAAGAAGTGTAGTTGAAAGTAAGAGAGACCAGTGGGAAAGTTATTTTTTAAAGACAGATATTAGCATAGTTACAGGTTTGGAGGGGGTGGTATCGAAGTGGGGCTCCAACACCAGTAAATTAAAAGAGATAAAGGAATAATAATGAACGGAGCAAAGTCGAGGGGGCACTAGTTGGAATCCAGGCAAACATATGGATGAATACTATATTATAAGGACCCTTAGCCCCTGAGAGGGAGCTCTGGTAGCGTAATGGCTAAGGCACTTGACTGCTAACCAGAAGGCTGGCGGTTCAAACCCACCAGCCACTCCTTGGAAGGAAGACTGGGCAATCTACTTCATAGAGATACTGCCCAGAAACCCAAGGAGGGGGTCTCTATGAGTAGAACTGACTCAAGGGCAGTGTGTTTGGTTTGGTTTTTGGTTTAGCCCCAGAGATGGAACAGAAGCAAGGAACTATGAGCAGTCATACTGGGGAATTTGGAGTCAGAGCCATGGGGACTGCTGAAGGAGCTCCTAATCTGACACTGTGTTATTCTATTTATTTAGTCAGTGATGGAGAATACTGACGCAAGACATAAGCAATGGTGAAGGGACAAATGACTTTGGAGATGGGAAGACATTACAGTCCCTCTAGCAGCATTGATTCTGTGTGTGTGAAGGCAGATTAGAGATGAACTCAGAATGGAGCTATGGACTAGTTCATTCAGAGGCCTTGTGACACAGTGGTTAAGCACCTGGCTGCTAAACAAAACGGTGGTGGTTCAAACCCACCAGTCACTCTGTAGGAAAAATGTTGCTGTCTGCTTCCATAAAGATTTACAGCCTCAGAAACCCTACTGGGCAGTTCTACTCTGTCCACTCTGCCGAGTCAGAATTGGCTCGATGGCAGCAGGTTTGATTCGGTACTAGTTCATTATTTTAGTTGCAAATAACAAACTCAAATTAAACTACCTAAAGGGGAAATTTACTGGAAAGATGTTGGGACCTCTACTTTAATAAGGGCTGGGGTCAGGGTCACAGCAGGTCGTTGAATGGACCCTGGGACTGAAGTGTCTTAGGAAACCTAGGCAGTCATCATTGCTCTCCTCATACCACTAGAATTTCACCATTAACAGCTTCCTAGCTTGATGAGTTACAATCCAGGCCCAAAGTATTGTTCTCAAGTATGGAAACAGTTGGGTCATCCCAGTGATAATGGGTGGAGAAAGGAACCAGTTCTAAAATAAACATCTAATTAGGTCTCTGCTCTGGGCAGGGCAGGTCTCAATCAGAACCGTGGACCTTTCTACTCAGTCAAGAAACTAGACTTTCATTTTGTAAACAACAGAAATTCCACAAGGAACATAATTCATTCATCAGACACTTTAATGAGACCCAATCTGGTACGGCCCCTGCCCTAGGGTAGTTTATCAGCCAAGAAGAAAGGTTACAATGCAACCTGCTAAATACCCAGAACAGGGGTGATTAGCCAACACTAAGTGCTCCCACCTGCTCCCCTCCTCTGGAGCGGAGCTCTAGAGCTGAAGGCAGGCGCAGCAGGGACAGGGGCTGACCTGCTCCACCTGTTGGAGGACAAGTCATGTTTGGACACTTCAATTTGGTGCCGCTGCCCAGGGTAAACGTGGCAGGCCCAGTTCACATTTAATCCAGTGAAGCACCTACTCAAAGGTGGGTGCCACGGAGGCATAGCAATGAGTAAGACACTGCCGCCCCTCAAGAGCTTGAATGAAGGAGGCAAGCGTACACACGCTTCCTGCTTCATAGACTTCAATTACCTTCCCTCCTACACTCCCGGAATGGCTTCCTCATTTTATGACTGAGGCCTGCTGTTAGGTCCTGTGCTGGTTCTCCTTATTCTGAGGAGAATCGGGGAGGACTGAGACCCACTTCTCAAGCATTTTCCAGCCACTGCCTGCCTGGAACTAATCCAGGGCCACAACGTAACGGTTCCATTCTGACTTCTTACTGCTAGACCTCAGCTCTCCTCCTTTTCCTTGAAATCAACCTTCTCCCAAAGCTTCCTGTACTTGTACCCATACCCAGTGTGAACCAACTTTCCAGCCCAGGGTACAGAAGACTTAGCTTCAAAGTATGTGGTTAATGTAAAAACAACAACAACAAAAAGAAAACTTTAGGGCATTTAGACGCCTGCATACATACCATAAACTCATGGTACGATGCAGCTGGCCCCAAAGCCAATGCAACCTTGGCTTTTAACACAAGCACAGACCAAGGAGGCACACAGCGCACAGCGTGGTGCTGGCTTATTCCTGCACGGCCTTTGAAAAGGGACGTTGGAAAAACTGCCTGTTTGGAGAGAGATCATGTGGCAAGTAAACCTGTCTTCAAGGAACAACTGACCAAATTAGTGGGGCCAAAGTAGTCGTGATTAACAGGGATTATCTGAAGGGCTGCCATGAAGACAAGAGTACCACGCATATCCCGGGCAAGGCTTTCAGGTTGTGCCGATACTCAACAACCGACCTCCTAAGGTCAGAGCTGGCCCACAATGAAACGACCTGCCTTGTGAGGTAGTGAGCTCCCTGGCGAGAGAGGTTTTCAAGCAAGGGGTAGAAGACCAGTTGGCAAGAGTGCTGTTAAAGGGGGAACTAAACCCGTGTGTTGGAGCCCGGTCTGGAGGAAGAGGCAGAGAAGGGAGAGTAGGGGAAGGTCCTGCCCCTTGTAACTGGGATTCTCCTGAGGGTACATCCCAACAGCCCCTAAAACAGATGGCGAGAACTTCTAGCCCTGATGTCCACACACACAAAGTCTTAGCATCTGCTATTTGCACAACTTTGAAACAAATGCTGTCACCTCTCCCAATGGGGCGATCTATTCAGACACACGCAGTAAGGCAGCCAGCAGGTGGAATATAACTGAAGAGTTCTCGTGGAGGAGACCCAGGGCTTAGGTCTGACTCTGCCTTGTATGGTGGAGGGGCTTCCTTCCCTTCTCTGAGCTTAACCTACACAGTCCTTGCCATTCTAAAGGGTGCTGCCTCTCTGGCTAGGCCCCGCTATGGACCTAGGGCTACAGTTTGGGGCCCTGGGGTTACACTTGTGGACGGCCAGAGACCACCTCTGGCGAAAGCATCGTCCACACTCCAGGCAGGGAAAAGGCTTCTCCCCCGTGTGCAGCAGCTGGTGCTGGGCGAGGTGGCTCCACTGGGCGAAGCGCTTGGAGCAGAGGTCACAGGCATAGGGCCGCTCGCCCGAGTGCACGCGCTGGTGACTGGCCAGCAGCGAGGGGTAGGCAAAGCGGCGGCCGCAGTCGTCACACGCGTACAGCTTCTCCTCCGTGTGCGTGCTGCGATGGATGGCCAGGGAGCCGCTCCGCCGGAAGGCACGGCCACAGTCTGGGCAGGGGTAGGGCTTCTCTCCCGTGTGCAAGAGCTGGTGCTGCAGCAGCGTGCTGCGCTGGGAGAAGCGGGCCTCGCAGTGCTCGCAGGCGTACGGCCGCTCCCCCGAGTGCACGCGCCGGTGGCTGACCAGGCGGGAGGAGGAGGAGAAGCACCGCTCGCAGTCTGGGCACGGGTAGGGCTTCTCGCCCGTGTGGATGCGCTGGTGGATGACGAGGGCCGTGCGCTGGCGGAAGCGGCGGCTGCACTCCAGGCAGCTGTAGGGCTTCTCGCCCGTGTGGATGCGCTGGTGGATGACGAGGGCCGTGCGCTGGCGGAAGCGGCGGCTGCACTCCAGGCAGCTGTAGGGCTTCTCGCCCGTGTGCGTGCGCTGGTGGATGGCCAGCAGGGAGGGGTAGGCGAAGCGCCGCCCACAGCTGGAGCACTGGTGGGGCTTCTCGCCCGTGTGAGTGGTCCGGTGGTTGGCCAGCGAGCGGCTCCTCCGGAAGCAGCGGCCACAGTCAGGGCAGTGGTAGGGCTTCTCCCCGGTGTGGATGACCTGGTGCTGCGAGAGGTTCTTGCGCTGGGAGAAACGTTTGCCGCACTGGTCACACACGTAGGGGCACTCCCCAGAGTGTGCGCGCCGGTGACTGACCAGCAGGGACGGGTAGGAAAAGCGGCGCCCACAGTCTGGGCAAGGGTAAGGCTTCTTGAGATTCTGGGCACACTTGTGGCTCTCCAGGGCTGGGTGGTCCGGGAAGGTACAGCCGCAGTCGGGGCAGATGGGGCCCCCAGATGTCTGCCTAGGGATTAGACGGGGTTTGCTGGGCCGGCGCCCTCGTTTGCCCTTTCGGGGTGCCTCCTTGGGTGGGAAGGCTTCCTTCTCCTCACTCTTCTTTCTGGTGCCGGTTTCTATGGAGACACAGGGAGAAATTAATCGAACATCACTGGGTTGCTACTCTTGCTTGTTACATACAGTGCAGTATGCCCAGACAGACAGACACAGAGCTGACAGGCAGCAGCTCAGACGGCGAAGTGAGACAGACAACTACAGAAACATGGAGGATACTGGGAATATATCCCAAAGAGGTGAGACCAGAGACACAAATAGATATATGCTCACCCATGTTCATCGCAGCACCGTGTACAATAGCAAAGTGATGGAAACAACCAAAGTGCCCATCAGCAGATGAATGGATAACCAAACTATGGTACATACACACAACGGAACACTATGCTGCATTAGAATAATGAAGAATCAGCGAATCACCTCCTAACATGGACGAACTTGGAGGACATGATGCTGAGTGAAATTAAGTCAATCCCACAAGGACAAATATGGTCTGAGTCCATTATTATAAAAGTCAAGGAAAGGTTGAAACAACGAAGGAAATTTTCTTTCCCAGGGAGGGGAGAGAAGGGGAGGGGAGGGAAAACAAATGCATACTTAAGAGACAGGTTTGATATGGGTGGGTGAAGGGATTTAAAAAAATAATAATACACACAAAAAATTATAAGATTAGGCAGTAGTTGATCGTTTTTTTTAAGCTAGGTTATGGGCACACGGGGGTTCATTTGTACTAGTCTTTGTTTCTGTCTGAAATGTTCTGTAATACATTTTTGAAATAAAACTTAAAAAAAAAAGAAACATGGAGGGTATTATAGGAGCTCCTAATGCAACCTGGGGAAGTTGGAGAAGGTTTCTTGGAAGAGGTTAAGCTGACCTAATTAAAATCAAAAGCTTTTGTAAGAATTTTCATGGTTCAAAACCCAAAATTATTTAAAAAGGAACACAGAGAAGTCTTGCTTCCGTCCTTGTTCCCATCTACCCTGTACAATCATAGTAATTACTTTCTTCTAGCGTTTCATGAAAATACAAATACATATCCTCTTCCTCCCGCCTTCCTTACATCAAAGACAGCATACACATACTGCATATACAGTGTTTCATGTAATACATCCTGGAGACCTTTACATGTCAGTGCGGGTCCCTACTGGATCTTACAGTGGCACAGAACCCACTGTGGATGCACCCTGGTGTCTTTAACTTAGCCGACTCTTCAAATGTAAATTCATATAATGGAGGGTTGTGGCTGTTGTTGTTATGTGCTGTCAAGTCGGATCCAACTCATAGCGACCCCTCCTTGGGTTTCCAAGGCAGTATCACTATGGAAGTAGATTGCCCCATCTTCCTTTGGAGGAGTAGCTGGTGGGTTTGAACCGCCAGCCTTCTGGTTAGCAGTCAAGTGCCTTAGGCACTATGCTACCAGAGCTCCTAATGAAGGGTTAGAAAGGTTGAAATGGCAAACCCGGCAGAGGAGACAGCATGAAAATTCCCAAAGCTCAATGTGTGGCGGGGACCACAAGCCTTAAGATCTTGAGACAAAAACTACAGGGCAAGAACTGGAAAAAGAGGCATGAGCTTGGCAGTGAATGGGTCATGGAAGGCCCTGTAAGCCAGTGGTCTCAGAAGCACTTGAAGGGCTTGTTAAAACAGATTGCTGGGCTCTGCTCCTAGAGTTTTGGGTCTGGGGTGGGACCCAGGAATTTGCATTTCTAAGTCCCCGCATGATGCTGATCCTGCTGGTCTGGGGGCCATGCTTTGAGAACTACAGCAGGCAGTAAGCATCATTAAGGACTTTTAATGGTTCTCAAAGGAGCTCTGGTAGCTTAGTGCCTAAAGAAAGCACTTGACCCCTAACCAGAAGGCTGACGGTTCAAACCCACCTGGCACTCCTCGTAATGAAGATGGGGCAATCTACTTCCGTAGTGATACTGCCTCGGAAACCCAAGGAGGGGTCACTATGAGTTGGGTCCGACTTGACAGCACATAACAGCCACAACAACGGTTTTCAAACCTAGACACATCCAAATCTACTGGAGAGATTTCAAAAAATAAGAGTAATACAAGTTCCTAAACACACACAAGAGTAGGGTGCAGGAATCTGTATTTTTATCAGCTTTGCCAAATGATGTCGATAAAATTGAGAGCCATGTGAGAACCGACCTTGGCAAGATCTAAAAGAAAAGTTGTAAGTGAGAAAATGGTCAGAGCTGAATCTGAGAAAGTCAGCCTTGGTCTTAGAAAATCTGGCACAGAAATCCCAGCCCAGGCGGTTCCATCTGCCCCTGTGGGTGAATCTGGGCTCCTGTCCCTGCATCCCATTGAACCAGAGCCTTGCCTCATCTTGGGGTGAATGCAGTGTGCCTGCACTGATCGGGATCATCCTGCCAGAAAGACAGAAAGAGACCCTTGCACCCCAGGAGTCACACTCCCCATCAGTTCCCTTCAAAAATCTGAAACACTCACAGGCTCTTTCAGTCAGAGTCCAATACAAAGAAGGGCGGGGTGCAGGGATCCTGGGAAGGAGGCAGGAGGGTAGCTCCTTTTAAATGCCGACCGATTTCATCCACACAATACAGAAGTGCAGGTGATCAGGTTGCAAACGGGCATCGTTAATCTTTGTTGGATGTAGAGGACCAACCCCACCATCAGAGACAGGAGATTCTGAGGTTGTAAAAAGACGCACAGTAAAGGGGACACCACAGCCGAGTAAGAGTTCTCCTAGGCGGATCAAAATGCTGAACCAGGGAGTTACAGGAGGGCCTCAGGGCCTCCGTGGGCACAGTGCACTCACTTCTCTGGACTGTTATCCTTCTTGGGCACTCCTGCGGATCCAGGGCTCCCGGTTCCCAGTTATCGGTGTTTCGTTCTAACCAGGAGATGAGGGCAGGTTTGGGACCTGCACACCCTGGAGAAGAAGAACCAGTCTGAGGACGGCCTCGCAGAGAACGCTAAGTAAATGCCTGCCCCGTGGCATCTCCTGCTGCGCCGCTGTGCCCCCTCCTGACCCAACCTGATCGTGTGCCAGGGCTCCCTGCCCTCTCCCCCGCCCCCAAGCTTCTTCATTCATTCCCACCCGCGGAAGCGGATTGGGCCGGGCCTCACCTAGTGCGCCCAGGTGGCCGTAGGTCTCCCGCATCACGTCTCGGTACAGGGCCCTCTGCGTGGGCCTCAGACACCCCCACTCCTCTGGGGAGAAGTACACGGCCACGTCCGCGAACCGCACGGCCCTCGGCCTCCTTCCCCTCCTCCGGCCGGGCGCGGCTCCTCCAGGTCCCCGCGGGGAGAGCGGCGCCGAAGGCGGCGCCATTGGACCCGAGAAGCCGCCGCCACGGCCTCGCCTGTCCCGATCTCGACCCCTGGGCGCTGGCGAGTTCCGGGATTTAGGAGTCTCCGCCCGGCCGAGGACTAGCGTGGCCCGGAGGCCCGGAGGTGATCGGAATCGGTCGCCTGCGGGACTAACGGAAACCTTTCGCTGTTATTCAGGAAACTCCTGACCGAACGTGGGTGAAAGGCACCGGAAGATGCCTTCGGGGAAAATGGCGGCGCTGCTACTACACCGCCTTCGCCTGGAACACAGGCCGTTTCCAGCTATCGATTTTATTGACCAGAGCGCCATGCCGGCTTCCTAACCTTTATGCCCTCAAGTGCAATGGCGCTGCGGCTGGGCTTCACGCCCCCTCCCCTTTTTCCCACTGCACGCGATCATTGGGCGGCGGCCGAAGAACGAGAGTTCTGATTGGGTATTAATGAACGCGGCCTGTTTGAACGAAGGCAATGGAAGCGTTAAGGGCAAGAAGTTGGCCCGTTAGTGTCGTGTGACTCTAGTGTGAGTTCAGAGTAGGGAAGGTGCGCCCTCGGATCTGTAAGAGGTTCTAGGATTGTTTTTCTCAGATAAGTTCAGCCTAGTTGTAAGGGAGGGACGGGTTTGAACGACACAGCCTCTCTGACCAAACTGGCATTAAGTTCCTTTTTGTGGAGCCTTCACTTTGGGGAATGGTTAACTTCCCTGTTGCCCTTTTGTGAAGGGAATTAACTTTCCAGTTATCTGGGGGCAGGCATCATGCCCAACTTATTACATGCTTCTTATTTGCTCCCCACTGGGCTGTCAGTTTCTCATACTGTGGTGGCTTGCGTGTTGCTGTGATGCTGGAAGCTCAAAACCAAACTCACTGCCCTGGAGTCGGTTCTCACTCATAGTGACCCCTACTTGGTTTTCCGAGGAGGTGTCTCTCCCTTAGTAGATTGCCCAGTCTTCCTTCCGAGGAGTGGCTGGTGGGTTTGAACTCCAGCCCTCTGGTTAGCAGTCAAATGCCTTAGGCACTATACCACGGGAGCTATGCTAGTGGTATTTCAGGTACCAGCAGGGTTACCCGTGATGGGCAGGTTTCATGAGAGCTCCCAGACTGAGAGAGATTAGGAAGAAGGACCTGGCCATCTACTTCTTATAAAAGTGGCCAGTGAAAACCTTATGCATAGATAACATACTACACAAAAACACATGGAATCAATCCTCAGGCTATGCAACTATGAGACCATAACTAGATGGTGCCAGGCTACCCTTGTCAGCCACTCAGAGGGGGATCTATGTAGGAGATCCTGGATAGAGTGGGAGAACAATGTGGAACAAAACTCAAAATCATTTAAAAAAAAAAGGGGGGGGGACACCAGCTTTGCTGGTCCGATAGAGCCTGGTGGAACCCCTGAGGCTATGGCCCCTTCAGGTCTGGAATTGAACCCACACCTGTGGCTTCCAGCCAAACAAAAGACAGGCATATGACCTGAACATTTACTTAAGGTAGATACACTCCTTGGAGAGTACAATCATGGGAGAATAGAAGGGCTGTGTATGCACAGGGAGACAGCTGGGAGGGCAGGAGTGCATGGGAGGGAAGGACACAGGGAAGAGGTAACTATGGGGAGGAAGTGAGAGGGGAGCTGTTGCATCATGGGAAATTGCAGTCAATGTCATGAGACAGACAAAGTGTATGTGAGCTGCTGTATGGAAGATGAATTTGTTCTGTAAACCTTCACCCAAATCACAATAATAATAATAATAATAATAAATAAATAAAACCTTATGCATAGAGCAGAACATTGGAAGACTCTGATTCACTCACTTCCCCCCCACACACTTACTGTTCACCCCAAGCCACTCTAGAAGTCCGCGCTCCATCATGACATGTCTTGCTTTCCTTTCAGTCATCACAGATAACAACCAAAGTAACCATCTAAGAATCAAAAGTTTCACTTCCTAGACCCCTTCATTCTTTCTCTTACAAAGTCCCACGCTCCCACGAGTCTGGAGCAATTGCAATGAATCCCGCTACTAATGCTGCCACTCCTAGGAAGGAAGGTTGGGCAATCTACTTCCAAAGTGATACTCCTCGGGAACCCAAGGAAGGACCACTATGACGGCACATAACAACAACAACAACAACAACAATTCATGCTACAGTGCAGTGAATTACTTAATGTGGTCCTTCTAGCCGTAGTCTTTATAACTCCCACCAAATGACTGGATAGGACTATGCAAATACGAGGAGCTAGAGGCCCACCAAGGGGATAGCTTGCTAATATTGCTAAGAAGGTGCCTGGCACACTTGTGGGGGTGGGACCATGCAAATAAAGTCTATGGAACCCTAACGTGGGGATTGATCAATTTTGCCATCCCACTAGGCTTAAAATTAGCCATCCCAGATGTGGAAAAGAGGGAGCCATGACAACCAAGAAAGAAGAGCCAGGAGCGGAGCACATCCTTCAGACCCAGGATACGTGTGCCAAGAATCTCCTTGATCCAGGAGACAGAGGGCTGTGACGCCAGAGCAGCAAGAAAGAAAGGGCGGCAGCAGAACCAGGAGGCTGGCATGACACAGCAGTAGGCTTCCCAGCCCCTGAACGAGAAAGCTGGGTGCCTGTGGGCAGGAGGCTTAGCAGCAGAGTGTGATGCCTCGAGTACTTAATGGTAGAGCTAAAAGCTTTGTAACACTTGCCTGAGCAGGACAGGGCTAGATTGAGAGGCTTGCCTGCAGGCACATCGGAGAAGAGTCTGTCCTGATCAAAGAACTGTGTCCTGAGTGTTCCTAAACCTGAATTGTAATCTGTTACTTCCCTAATAAACTCCCTAATTGTGAGTATTGTCTGTGAGTTCTGTGTGGCCATTGCAACAAATTATGTCACCCAGCAGAGAAGCGGAGTGCTGTGGGAGGGATGGTTGGAGTCAGAATTGGTAAGGGGGCTGGAGGGTGGAAGCAAGCTTGACCTCCTTCTCAGAGGAATTAGCCTGTTGACCCTTATTCTCTCTCCCTCTTGTAAAGCTAAGGAAGTCAGGTACTGACCCCAAACCATTTTTACAGATGCCAGCTGTAAAAACGGAATGCCAGAAAGGTCTTCCCTTCTCTAACTTCATGACAGGGAGAGGGAATCAACACCAATAGCCCTAGGTTGATTGCTATTAGGTGGAGGTCAGATGTGCCTCTCATTCCCTGGGTCAGTACACCCACTGCAATGCCTTGCTTTGTGGGCTGGGAAGCCTACTGCACTGCTCTGTGCCAGACCCCTGGTTCTGCTGCCAGTGTTTCTCTGCTCCTGCTGCTTCTTGCCATCCTGCACCACCTCACGTTACAACTTTCTCTGTGTCTCCTGAGTTAGGAGGTTTTCAGTGCAGAGACTCTGAGTCCAAGGGCATACTCCGCTCCTGTCTCTTCTTTTTGGTGGGTGAGGGTCCCCCTTTTCTGCCTCTTTTAAGCCTAGCAGGATGGCAAAACTGACCAATCCCCTCATTAAGTTTCCATAAACCTTATTTGCATGGTTCCACCCCCACAAGGGTGGCATGCATCTTATTCGCATTGCTGGCAAGCTATGCAATCCTCTTGATGGGCCAGAAACATCATTTGCATAGTACCACCCAGTCATTTGGTGAGAGTTACAAAACTAGGGTGAGAAAGGCCATATAAAAGAGATCCATTGCACCACACCTCCATAGACCAAACTCATTTCCCAGTTGATACATCAGTGTGGAAGGAGTTACTCTTTCTTATTCATCTTGGCAATCGTGACATCTCCTCCCCAACTAGTTTGTCAAGAAACAGCCTCCATTTCTTGGTAAATAAACATTCACAGAGAAGTCAGTCAATGTTGACTGCATTTTATTCTACAACTTCTGTTTTACTCTATACCAAGCAGTCATCTTCTTTGGAATATATGGTAGTTAAGTTGTGTGTCAGTTTGGCTGGGCCTGGTTGAGTGGCTGGGCAGCTGGATGTAGTTATTCCCCATGATGAGACTGGTAATCAACTCCATGCTGGAATCTACTGGAGCAGCTGAGTAGCTGCCTTAGGGATGTGTTCTGCTTCCCGTATATAAGAAGCAGCTTTGAGAAAGTCTCTGAGGTTTCTATCACACTTAGACCTGACCGTAGCCGAGTCTTCATTCAGCAGCCTGCCATGTTGTCTGCTAATCTTGGGACTGTTGAACTAGTGGCTGCTGTGTTGCTTGATAATTTGGGGACTGTGCCATTTTACTTGTTGACCTTGGGTTTGTCAGCCTCAGCAGCCAGCAGCTGTCTGAGTTAGGAGAAACCTCCAGCTTCAGTGGGGCAGGAGGAGCAAGAGGCAGAGCTGAAGCCCAAGGTCGAGGGGCCTTCACCCAACCCCTAGAGCTGGCACTTTGAACTCAAGACTTCTGGCCTACTAAACTGTAAGAGAATAAATCCCTATTTGTTAAAACCATTCATTTGTGGTATTTCTGTTAGAGACACTAGAGAACCATCATTGTCTTATTTTATGACTTTTCCTGTCACATTATTTTTCTTTATTACCTGAAGGTTTTGGAGTTACGAGATTTGCCGATAGTAGCTGCCTTAAGCATATTAATGGATGGATTGGCAGTATGTATATCACCTGTTGAGGTGAGAGATGTGACAAAAGGTCATGGCATTGAGCTGTTAAAAAAATAAATAAATAAATGCATCACAGCACTTAACACAGAAGTGGGGAATGGCAAGATGGTGCTGATGTGTTGAGCCCCTGGCCGTGTCCATTAGCATTTACTTGTTCCTTTCACATACAGGTTTATATTATTCTGCTATTATTTGTGAATTTGTCTGTCTACAACCCTAGACTCCAAGCTCCATTCAGAGAATAGCTTATTTTTTAAAGCTGCTTCTCCCAAGTACCTAGTACTATGCTTTGTACATTGAACGAATGTCCTATGAAAATAAAGTGTGGAGAGATGTGCAGAAGATTGAACCTGAGGAGAGACCAGGAGCGCCTGTAGAGTCCTCATTTAGCAAGCATATTGGAATAGTGT